GTTCCATGTAGTTCGAATAAATGCAAAATCTCTTCAGCTACCGGGTGGTGCTCGTTGTTTGTTTCGGTATAATGGTTATATGGCTGCAGTACTGGCCTGAGTTTTTTGAGACGACTGTTTTTCTCATTTTTTCATTATTATTTGCTATTAGAAGTAATTGGAGCAGATTTAGTGGCTTATGGATTATTTTGGTTCATTTTAGTCCTTTCTCTTACCTTCATTTCTGAAATTTTCTTTAAAATTTAATGGCTAAAATCGAATGAAAATTCCTTGAATGCGAAGGATTTCGAAATTTAAATTTTTTGCGTTAAATGCAGAATGAAAATATATCTTTGTTTATGAACTTTTTAGACAATTCTTAATAATAAATTAAATTTTACGATGAAATGGTTTTGTTTTGATATAAAAACCCTAATATAGATTGGACACCTAATATAGATTGGGTGGTACTCTCCTGGCTGAGAGTACCACCCAATCTATATTAGGTGATTTGATTTCTAGAAAGCTTATTTTTGCATATCTACATTATATTAAATACAACCCAATTACTATTTATCAATTACATTTGGATAAAGCTGAGAATTTGATTGGTTGTATTTCAGAAGTCGACAAGCATGGGATGAAAGTGATGATGAATATGATAGGCCTGACTACTACACCGATTCATCTGATGGTTTTGATAGTGATGTTTCCACTGCCCGAAGAAGTCAGTTGTGTAGTGTTATTTTAGACATTTTTTTAAACGCTTTTGTTCTTTTAATTTTTTTAATATATGACTTTCCGGTGGTCATAGCTATTTCAGCAATTTAATGATTTTTTCAGATTCATTTTGAATATTCCTTCGAAATTTATTCTACAAACAGTAAATGCTTTCTAGACTCAGCGGCAATGGATTTCGACGACGAAGTAGAGGATGAGGAGATAGAAGAGACATCATCCGTGGCGAGTCGCGTTCCAACACCCGGTGCATCGCTCTATGAGACGGATGAATCTGTCGGTGTGTTTTAAGGATCTCTTACGTAATATCTTAGTTTTTGCTTGTTGTAGCGCACTTCTTTAGGGAATTTCTGGCAGTCCACTGAATCCCCTTTTTCCAGCCTTCATTTCTTCGGTATTTTTTTGTCCTGTGAAATTAATTTATAGAATGTCCATGGCTTGAAATTCCGGCCGAACAACTACCAATACTGAAATTACCGAAAGGAAGCAAAGATTTATTGATCGATGAGAAGTATTTGTTTGATGCTCTTGAGGTACTAAATCATTTCGAAAGAAAAGTGTTAAATTACAAATGTTAGAATAGCCTTGGTATAATTCATAATTCATCATTCACTGAAGGTCATTTTCATAAACTAATAACTAACCTACGTGAAACTCAGGCTGGGTCAGAAATCCTTGATGCACGCTTTTGCCAAGGCGGATAATCTGTTGATTTTAATAATGCTGAAAATTCGCATATTTTTTTGCCTTTTTTCAGGTTTATGAAACATGTCGCTGGTACTACCAAGCAATTCGACTTTCTCCATTTCTTTTCGAGGATTTTTGCGCAGCTCTAAGCACGGAAAGTCAAACAAATCTCTTGGCTGAAATACATATTGCACTGTTGAAGTTATCATTGAAGGATGATGATGATGAGCAAATTATCTTGTCGGTTCAAGATACAAACAATAGTTTCAATATCATGCTTCAGCTGCTCGAACCAATGACATATGCTGAGGTAGCTGTAAGGAAAAACAAATGATTTATAACGAAGACTCTGCAGTAAACTGAGGACTAAAAAGTTTTTTTTAGAGTTGGAAAGAGGACAGGTGTTTGAAAAATAAAAAGGAAAATCTTATTTAGAAGAAACAAATCCGTTTCTGATTGTTGAACTCGGAACTTTTGGTTAAATGAATGTCGGGAATTGAGTTTGGAAACTGCATGGTAATATCTTGCTTCAGGTACTTCGCCAGTATTTGGAAAGTGATCCGCAGCGCTTCCCTGCTCAGGTTCTTGAAGCAGTAAATGGAAATTATCCATTTGTTGATGTGGAACAACGACTTATAGTTCTTTCATGGCTTTGTGATCGTTTTTTTCAAACTAACGAATATCGAAATATTGTTAGAAATGAGGGGAAGTTAACAGCAGATCTACATTGTCGTGAATGTGGAAAACCAGGGGATGTTTTGCTCTGTGATGGTTGTGAAGCGTGCTATCATTTGTCGTGTACTAGTCTGGCTGATGTACCGGATGGAAAATGGTTGTGTCAAGTGTGTGAATTACATAAGGTAACGCTAATTTCATTTAAATTCACATGATAGAACAGGACAACATTTGAAACTGATGTAGTCATAGAGTCACGTCTCTAAAAGAAGGCATTCAGTGTTGACTTACCATTAATTCTTGATCAGCTGTACTCCTGGTCTTTTAAGCTGTACTTCTTATTCAGATTGGCATTTTAGGTACGCGGTGTAACAGACTGTCAAGTCCCCGGTTACCGATCGCCGCGTATGCCCATGCGTTTCAAACCACTGGGTCGCGATCGTCACGGTCGTCTTTATTGGTTTATGGTGCGACGAATATTTGTGCAGGACGATATTAACGGTTCTGTGCATTACTACAGCACTCTTCCTCAGCTCTACTTTTTGTTGAATATGCTTTCTGTGAATGAATATGAAAAACATTTGGCAGCCGTTTTTATGGATATTCTTCCTCTCATTGAAGAACATATGCGGATGACGCTACAGTTAACTGGTGACTATGGACGGAGCGCAAGAACTAGAAATAAAACTGATTTGTATTTGCATGCTGATAACGGTTAGTTCAAATCAAAATAGTTATTTCTGAAGAACGAGGTTATCTAGCATTGACACCTGTCGTTCATTGATGAAACTCCTACATTTACTAGTCCTAGACTCGGATACCTTGTCGCAGTATATCATTTAGGAAGATGAGGAGTCAAATTAGATTCAGCAGCAAGTGATCTTTTTTCAGTTGTCAGAATGGGCGACATTTTGGCAAAACCACTGTTTAGTCAGTTACGAGAAAGTGATGATGAGCGAGTTATGGTTGCAATTGGTTGCACGAAGCATGTTGAAGTGAGCAAGTATCTGCTACTCTGCAAAATTGAAGAACTGTTGGGGTTTACAGGAAACTGCTTGAAAGATACATTCTGGACAGCTGGCATGCAAAGTAAGTGTAGCTGTTCTATTTTCAGTTGGTGATTCACAAAAAGTGATAATTAAACTACTGTCACAGATTTTCTGTAAAATTTGTGTCATTTCCAGCTCACGAAGTGATTGCGAAAAAAGAAGTAATCGAAACAAGTTTCCATACAGCTTCTGTCAACGGTAGTGTTGGGGAAGTCCATTCTGCGGAGCTTGGATTTAGACTTGGCGAAGGCGACATCTTGGCACGCTACGTCAATCAATATAGCACGAATGAATATGCCAAAAATCCGATTCAAAGAGCTAAAGAAAGAGACAAAAAAAGTACATGTCAGGAAGGTTTTCGCTGATGGACGAAGGGGAATTCGAGGTGATTCGAGACTTACGTTCAACCTGAATATTTGTACTGTCATTATTTTAACCTTAACGAGAGAATAAGTGCAAATTATTTAGCTAAAATAAATGATGGTAAAGAATTATGAAATTGCAGTGGGCTGTAGCAAAAGGACGCACTCTTACTGGAACACCAATTCAGATTGGGAAAATAATACAAAGTTCTTTGGAAAGTTTTGCTCAAAAAATACCATCGACTTTAATGCATCGACTGTGGAAACATGATGGTTTCGATTATTTTAAAAAGGTGATTTGCTTAAAAAAACAGTCTTTAATTTCCTTTCTTGGTCTCCAAGGTATATTTAACTATAATTTTGTCCTCATTTATTCCAGATATCGCTCTGAAGATATTCATACATACTGATTATGTTTCTGCAAATTTCGTATACAAATTTTAATTTTTCGCAGGGACTTAATGCTCCACCAACAGTTGAACTGCTGAAAGACTTGTTGTTGCGCTTTGAATGTGCGATTCGGCGACCAGTTCTTCATAGTGTGTGGTGGAATACACTAGGGCATACTCGTCTGATGCGTATAACAGTGGAAGATCGTGAACGACGTCAGCGTTACGAAGCGAAGAAAAAGAAGCAGGACAGGGTAACAGATTTTAGTCTTAATAGATAACAGATCCAGTGTATTTGTAATATCAACAATGTACCGTATCAAAGGATCTTATAATTTTACATAGTTATTTCCGAGCATTTCTCAACTTTTTCTGTACTTCAGTAATCTTTTACTTGAAGGCTGAATTATGTTTAAAGAAATGAAATTTCCATTAATCTTTAAAGAAAGTGAGATCTCCATTAGTAAATTGCATCGTTTTGTGTCATACTTTAGTATCTTATGGAAAATTTTGAGGCAATAAATGAGAAGGATGATTTTGACGCATTAAGATTGACTAACTAAAGGAAAAGGATGTGAAAAGTAAACTTTTTCCAGGAGCTTTGGGCAGCAGAACCAGATGATGACGAAGTAATTTGGGTGAAACATCTTAAAGTTGGTTCAGTACTTAAAAGAACTTTGTGGCGGCAGAACGATGAAGGTTATCGAGTGAATGGCCGCGGTGCCCTTGGTGGTTGGTTGTGGAAAGCGAAAACATTTCATCGGACATTCATTCCACAAGCCGAAAAGCCGAATATTGGCAGAAATTTAAAAGTATGCTGCTTTTCCTGGTGTTTCAATAAATTTTATTTACCAATAATAAAATTTTTCCTTAAATTGTCAGTGATATTATCAGTCATAAGCAAGCAAAGAACAAAAGCAAAGAACAAAAAGTTTGAGATTGCTGCAGTGCCTTATTAAGAAATCCAATTTTTTTTAAAGAAATCCCCATACATTGCTTCTAACAATGTCGGTACTAAGAGTAACCAATATTGTTCGCTATAACTGTTATATTTTTGTTGCCAAATGAAGAAATTTTTTGGAAATTGAAGCAGTTTATCTGTATGTTATGATTACTTCCATTCTGTCATTTGATTTGTCCACGCAAATGATGCAACCTGAGATCTTTCAGCCCACTACATTGGCAAATAGAAAAGCAATTCGTTTGGGAAAAATTGTTGAAAATCTGAATGAATGGAGGAATGCAGAACTAGAAGGCGAGGAGAGGTAAATTTATTTCGGGATAAATTTTGTTTGGATCGTTCTGTGCTTCTCATGTCTGTGAATTCTTTAAATCCTTCCTTAGCATCTCAAGTCAATAAAACTGTAGATATTGATAGCATCAATGGTGAAATATTGGACTATGGCTGTTATAATACCTGCAATAAAGCTAATCTCAGGAAGTGGCAGAAGGAACTTCTGAAGAAGTGCTATTCCCCCACCTGTAGAATGGGCATGATGCCGTTACCGATTACTTCGGAAAATGATAGCGTTCAAGGTTGTTACAGTTTTGCGTGTCGTCAAGCTGTATTACAATCGAGTAAGTTATGCTTTGTTATTGTTATAAAAAGTTTGAACCTTTGAAGAGATTTTTGGCGTCTTTTTCTGCTAAGCGAAGAAATAGGATTTTTTTCAGTATTTACAAATTTCTATTTGGCGATTAAAATATTCATTTTTGCATGTTCTCCAAATATAATCAACTCTATATGACTGTACATATGATTGTAGTGGGAAGAACCACTAGTGGTGTTGTACACGCACGACCTCCATTATCACCATCATCAAAATCTCGACAAGAAAGTGGAAAAGATGTGAAAGCGCTGGAGATGAATAAACCATTCCCGCTCCCGGTTCCATTTGATTATCGAGTCAAGCGTACTGGTGAACAAAGTTTACTAATCTTACCACAGAGGTCAATTTGTTTTGCTGAAAAATATCTTCACAAACATTTTTGTTCATCGATCTGAATCTTTCGTCAGATCTTCTGTACGCATAGTCATTTATTTTAGGTTTTTTGGGATAATAATGCTTTCCAGGAAACATATGATCAAATTTAGTGTGCTCACTTGGGTATCAGTTTACCATGTGTTTTTATGTGTGGCTAGCATAATATCTTTATTTTCTTGAAGCTCTGCAAAAATGGTAGTTGAGCCATAATTCTTTACCACTGAAGTAATTTAAACAGATAGAATTTAGTCAACAACCATCGACTTCTCAGAGTTTTACAGATAAGTTTTTCAGATCCTTAAAACGTTTGGCTCGCCAGGGCGGAGTGAATTTGAATTATTTCGCCCCTGGTTTTCATCGTATGGCTAAAAGTAACAATCAAGTGTGGAACTACCCTTGTCAGCGTCCGCTCTTTGATAATTGCTGGAGGTTTGCTAATTTTTTTGTTGCGGATAGTGAAGTGATCTTTTATATTAGGACCATCTTATATATTAGAACCATTATAAGTTCTGAATAGGAAAAATTCTTAATAATATAGCTGTTAATCACATCAACTGAAAATTAAATGTTTTACGATGTTCATGTTCCTTATATATCCTTGCATTACAACGTTTTAGTGTACTTGCATACACTGAAGCACTTCACCATGTTCTCTCGCTACTGAAAAAGTAAAATCCGTGAAGGCAGCATAATTTCGATTTGCACAGGAAAAAATTATTTAGGAAACGATTTAATAATGCAAATGATATGAGGTAATATGAAATAATTGAGATGTCCTTTATTGCTTTATTTGCTTTCCTGATTCCAGATACATGGTGTTACGCGCTCAGTCTTACCACTCAGTTGCTCTACATCTTCGAGTACTCTATGCATGTATTCGATGGGCTGATATGCATCGCGAATCAGATGAAGTTTGTTTTCAATTTTTTTTCTTTTTTTAGTTAGGATGCGAAAGCAGTATGTCATATTTTTAAAATCATTCAATAAGGATGAGTAAAAAGAAATAAGTACTGTTAAATTAATCTTTATGACTCATGTGTTCCTTTAGATTATTTATTGTTGTTAAATTCTATGGCGGATGTTGTCTTTACAAATTACTTGATTCTTTCTCAAAATGCTTTGCTTTCGTAGGATTTTCGGGTTACAGTCCATCTTGCGGATCATGATGAAGTACGAACAGTGGTTGGCCATAAGGAATATCCACCAGATGGTATGTATGAACAGTATAAACTTAGTATAGAGCTAATTCCTCTGGATGACAATATTGAACTGGATGACGCTAATGAAGGCTTAGGAAGTGCCGCATATCATCCATCAAAGTCGCTGGAGAAAAGTAAGTTTAATTCATGTATTTCTCTTCTGTTTTCTTCACGATTACTGATTTATGTGTCAAGAAGATACTTTATTTACAGTTGCGGGATCTAGGATAGCATAAATTGGCCCACAGTATAAGATAATATATAGGAATGATAAAGAGTTGTAGCGAATTGACTGTTGCTGATCGATTAATAAAAACATTCTCCATCATCTTTGACCACTGCATATTTCGTTGGACTTCAGCCGGTATCCATGGCAGTATCCATGTTCTATTTCAGCTTTGCGTAAAAGAAAAGCAACAAGGAGATCAGAAAACGGGGTGGTAAGGAAAGATCATGTAAAAGTGATTGAACGATGGATCGACGGTGTTGAACTGAAACCCTGGGAAATAGCTGATTATTGGAAGAATATTGAAAATCGAACAAAGCGTAGTTTGGCTGCGCCATCGGTCGTTACAGGTTCTCAATTCCAGCTTTTTGAAATTCCAGCTCTTCGATTTTGTCATATTCTTGCTATGTCTGAATTTTCGGCATTCGTCCGCTCTACAGAAACAGAATATTTATAGCATCTGTCTTAGTACTTGTCACTAATCACCATCATTTGATGTAATCAAATATAATCAGCAGTTCACTTATGCTCAGTTTTTGGAAAAAAAAGTAGTGTAAGGAGCATAGGTTACAATTGATTTTGCGATTTCAAGAAATTAAACGAAATAACCATTTTCCGCGAAATATACTTTAAATTGTTTTCAGTGGGCAATAGACTTCCTACGTTAGCTATGAAAAACTGTGAGTCGTCGACAGTTTATTCTAATCGTATATCTGCTGAAAGACGTCGTCCACAGCCGAAACGTATGCCGGATTACGATTATGATATAAAAGACGATGAGGACGAAGATGACGACGATGAATATATCGACGTTGAAACGTTACCGAATATTGCTGAAACGAAATCAATTTCAAGTTTAGAACCAAAACCAAAAATTCCACGATTATCAGAACAGAGATCAGAAAGACAATTAACTGGAAGGTGATTATAAAATTATTGGCATAAACGAGCATCGGTATTTGCTGTTGCTTAATCGTGAAATTCTCTTCCAGTTGTCACTTGATCATCCTTTGATAAAACACCGAAATAATGGCGAGTATTAAGTAGAGGCCTGAAACCGACATCTTGTGAGGATTCTGATATATCCGCTTTTCTGAGAATTAGTGTAGATTGGTGTGATATGTCTTAAATTTTGAGATTTTAGTCCTTATAAAGCACAGTGGCACAATCCGAATGTATATCGTCAATATGAACAAGTGGCCAGGCGACCAGGTGAACTGCTAGGTGGAGGGAAATATACCATGTTTCAGGTTAGCTTTATCTTGTTTTTTGTTTTACTCTCTTTGAAGGAAGTCGAATTTTAGAAAAAATAGAAGGGCAACTACAGCAGGCCAGATCGACTAGAAATTTTTTGATTTAGGATTGAAATCCTCATGCTTAGAATTGATTTTTTTCTTTTTATATTACTCATTATTATTTATGATTCAAATGTAAGGCATTAACCAGTATTTGCTGTCGAAAGTTCAGAGCATATTTGGCCACATATACTTAGACCAGTTTAGAAGCCGGATGGCACATTCTGCCGTGTAATGGTATATCAGAATCGTCCAATGCAAGGAGATAGGACTCCGAGTACTCCGGGATCTATTCGCCCTCCGCCAGTGATAACTTCACAGTCAAGAGCTGGAAATTATCAGCGTGAATCGCTGCGAATACCAGTCAGTCGAAGAGTTGTATCAGTTCCAGGCTCAAATCATGGATCTCCTGTGGTTGGTTTAAGCAGTAATTTGCTCTCCTTTATTTTTCCAAGAAATTATTTATATTACCCCTCTGCAAACGTGAATTCGTCTGTACATATGGAAACTCATGAAGTAATAATCTAGTACCTTTTCAGTAGAACTTTTTAATTCGGAGACTTTACAAGTTCTTTTCTTATCTTTTTCTTAGTCCTTCCTGTCCTTCCTGTGTTTTTTAATCTTTTTTGTATAAATTTCAGGCACCGATGGGGAAACGACTGTTGTTGATTCGCCGGAGTGATGGTACGACGCAATATTTACGGCCAGTTACTAGTGGTACCAGTACACCCGGTACTTATCGAGCAGTCCGCACGACACAAGTATATATTTGTTTTTTTTTCTACTATTCATTTCTTTTACTGCAAGCTAACTTTCCGTTCTTCCTCCAAAGAAATACGTTTTCCCGCATTTTCAGCTTTATTATTCCTTTTATTTCTGTCATCCCACTACACCATTATAGACTCGTGCTGTTTTCTAAGTCTACCAATTTCGATTCCAGCTTACTGTCTCACTCATCTCTCCGTGGATCTAATGATGTACCCAGTAGTATAGAGTTATGGGGAAATATGATGGTGGAGAAAATCTTTTTTTTAATGAAAATCATGAAGTTGAGGAGGAAGAGGAAAATAAAGTAGATTGGATTATTGTTATCTGTTTCTAAGGTTCGCTAGTGTCTCAAATCAGGTTTTAGATCCCACTCAAGACTTGAATTTTACGCAAAATCCAGAAGCCTATAAAGTCATTACTAAATATTAATATCATTTTAGGTTGGTGGTGCGACAATAAGTGATGTTCGAGGTTCTGCAACAGGTATGCATTTGTCGTGTTAGACAGAATAGATCTTTTTTGAGTGGCACATATATTTTATAGTTCTTATCCTCATATTTGCACTGCTTTCAGTATTCATAAAATCTCTTTTCATAGGTTCTTCCTTTGTTCGTCCGGTTAGTGCTACTCGAACTGTTTTTACTGGTAATCAGTCAGTGGGAAGAGTTGTACGATTACCTGCGGTAAGTATTAGTGATCAAATAGTTTGATAATATGCAGACCGAATGTCATTTTACGAACCAATATGACAAAATAAGATTTGGATTTACAAAAAAAAATTAAGATTTAGATTTTCACGAAAATTTTTTGCACGAGATATAAAACATGATAAGCGTAGTTACGGGATGTATGATTAAAAAGAAAATTGAATTGCTTTCACTGATAAAGCAGGAACTATACCCCAGTATGTTAACTGAAGGAAGAAAACTGATGATGTAGCTTTGTTCATATGTTCTCCATGAAAATAATTGTATTGATTTCTTGATAATAAGCGACATTTCTAGCGTTCTATACTTGTTCTTTGTACTAGTTCATTTCATTATGCTTTTATTTCATTTACAGCGAACAGTTGCAGTGGTAAATCAGCCACCTACTACTGGAAATCAAGTCCCGTCCACAGTGAGAATTGGCCGAATGCAACCGGTAAATTATAGTAATGTTGATTGACCTGTATAGTAGCCATCTCTAGGGTAGGGTTCAGCTGGATGGTTCGTCTTGCAATATTTGACGATGAACCATGGATTTTGATGGTGTTAGGAAATAATGAACTTTATTCTGTAAACAGTGAATTAATCTATTAATAAATTAAGCTTGGAATTCAATTTGGACTTTTTACAGAATGCAAAACGAGTGGATGGTGATGAAATGCTGAGTGATCAATCAAGCGGTCTCGTTACTGCAGATATGAGCGAAGAGTATCGTTTATTGGCGGAAAGAGGTCTTCGCTCATCTGGGAGGCCCCCTGGAATAGCTCCAAGTTCTGGGTAGGTCGTTTTTCTCAAAATATAAATTTCTGTGAAATACAATTGGATGAACTGCAGTTAATTTAGTATGCGTTCAGGTAATCTTGATTTCTCCATTTGTTAAGTTCGAGTTTCGAAAGTATATCTCTATTGTTAGAAATGGGCGTGTTGTTAACAGTACAAGACCAGCTGTAACAGTTCAGCCGCGGCAAGGTTTAGCAACAGTGCATTCATCTCTCGAACAACAGACATCATCAGGTCAAATATTCGGTGACCACGACCCTATGGTAAGTAGAAGCCCTATGTAGCATATTTCAGGTCTTGCAATTCAATAATTTATAGGTTTCCAGTAGATTTTTTCAGATTAATTTCATTCCAAGCGTTGAGTTTCAGATAAGTGGTGGTTACTACACTAATGATGACCAGCAGGCTTATACCGGGATTTGATAGCTTTACATTAGTGATATATTGGTGTATGGATCTCATATGTTGTCCTTAGAACAAGTGATTAGTGATCAGAAATATAATTTCAGAGTTTCAAGAAGTTTCAAAAGAAGAGAGTAAAAGATCCAATAGGTAGAAATTAAGTTTGAAATTGGTCGTGGAGTATGAGTGGGCAAAAATAACAAAGGGGAATGGTAATGTACTAAATCATACGATAAAATAATAGGACTTCTTTTTTGTTCTCCCAACTTGGACCATTGGTTGTTGCTCCGTACTTTCGTTGTATTCCAGATAATTTTTCATACATTGCTATGATCGTGTGAACTTGTGTTATATCTTATCTTGTTGGGCTTTATATAGTTTTATGCGCTCGTTAGGATTTGTATAACATCAAAAACAGTGATTTGAGAATCGCATACATTTTGCTTAGCTACACTGTTATCGATTTACTTTTTTACATTATCAGCGCACCTGATGAAGCATTTTGATTTTGTATTTGGGACATCCACGTTATATTCCACCGCTCAGCAACGACTCCGTACCAATTTTTCAATTTCTTATAAATGTATTTTTACACCGTAGGTAGCTTTCATAATTCTTATCCTTTAAAGACATCTGTCATTCTTTCCCCGTTATCAGTTGGTTTTTTCCTGTCATCTGAACAGTGCTTGAAAGAATAGTTCGTAAAAGCCGTCTGAACAGTTCTCGAAAGTATAGTTCGTAAAATTCTTGTTTGTTTATTAGCTTCAAGGAATTGTAACTTCATTATTCTTTTATTTATGAATGATTTGTGCCAGATGCCGTATTCGTTTAGTTCTACGTAACTTTGTGTTTCAATTCTTTAATTTTGGATGGTAGCCAATTTAAAATAATGTTTGGTTTTGGCTGCCACCTCTATATTTTTATGTTTCTATTTCTGTTATAAAATAAAATATTCTGGAAGTAATTTTTTTTGCAAGTCACACGATCATGCACTTTTGTGTGAAAAATTTTCCGCTTAGATGACTTGATTTCCATAACAAATTAGAAAATAGACCGACATTCAGAAGCTACCAAGGTCCATTTTCCAGGCTGGTTCCGGATCATCTGCAAGTAGTGGTGGTAAATACGCGAACATGGTACGAACGGAAGTCAGGACAGCAGGGTACGGGTTTCCCACGTTTTTTTTCTTTTTACGTCAAAATGAACAAACCATGGGAAGTTGAAGTCGGTTCATTTCAAAAGGTTTGACATTTACCAAAAGTCCCATTTCTTTCTATCAAAATTTTTAAAAAGCGGAAAAATGAAAAAAATGAAATAATTGCATTCTTAGAGTTACTACACGGACACATTCTGTCGTTGAAATGATTCGAGCGGGATATCATGGTCGAGGAGGTAAATTGTTAATTGTTACTTTATTGAAAATTTACTGAAGCTTTCTTTGAAATCCTTTTCTACTTTTTTTTTTTTGTTTTTTGTTTGGAAAGAAATGGGTAATCATGGACATAATATATGTTAGCAGTATATTTTGCTCCTAAAACGTTTTATATCATGTTTCATGAGTATATCAGAGCGATTATGTGCACTGTGTCTTAGTGCTGCG